GCACGGAAGTCCGCAGAGAAGGATCGGTGGGGCTCTAACCACGTAAGACGTCCTAGTCGGCCCCATAGCGGGCCCTGCTAGAACTACAGCCCCAAACCTTTGGGCTCATTCCCACGTGCATTTGACGATCTCGGCCTTTGTTCAGATGTTTGGGGTGTCCCTGGTTCGTTCGGCGTGAGGGCCCTGGAGGGCCTGGAGTTGTCGCGGCGCTCGCGCCGATCGACGCAGTTGCCGTGGCCTTGTGGCCCGCTCTCTCCCTCTCTCTCTCTCTCTCTCTCTCTCTCTCTCTCTCTCTCTCTCTCTCTCTCTCTCTCTCTCTCTCTCTCTCTCTCTCTCTCTCTCTCTCTCTCTCTCTCTCTCTCTCTCTCTCTCTCTATCTCTTTCTTTTTTTTTTTCTCTCTCTCTCTCTCTCTCTCTCTCTCTCTCCCCCTCAGTAGTTATTTATAGTTCCTTTCTTTCTGTCTCACTCCCCCTTTCCCCTTTCCACTCTCGATATTTCTCTGGATCCTTCTCTTGTTGGTATCTTTTGCCCTACCGACTCCCCCCTCTCCGCTGTCCTCTTCTCTTCTCTCTTCTCTTCTCCGCTCCTCTCTCCTCCTTTCTCCTTTCTTGTGTCCTCGCTCATTCCTCCCTTCTCCTCTTCTCGCTTGTCCCTGCCTCTTCTCCGTTCCCCTGCTTCTTTCCCCTCCCCTCCCGTTCACTCCCCCCCCTTTGCCCCCTTCGTCGCCCGCGCCGCCGCCCCCCCCCCCCCGCCCTCCCTCCAGGGCGCGGCGGTGGGGGGCCGCCGTCCGCATCACCGACGGCTGCGCCTTGACCCAGGGTGACCTGAAGAGGCTCGAGCCGATGGGCGAGAGGTCCCAGCGCACCTTGGAGCGCTTGGAGATGGAGCCCGCCGACATCGGCGACGCGATGATGCCAGAGGAATCGGGTTCGCTTGGGCGTGGGGAGGGGGGGGCGGGAGGTGCAGGTGCGAGGATGAGCGGGGGTCTCCTTCAGACTGTTGGCGCTCGCGCAGTCAGAGTCGGGGTGTCCGACAGTCCCTGGCCGCTTTCGAAGCCACTGCCCCGCCATGCCTCCGCCTTGTTGGAGGATTCGTCTTGTTGGGTCGCCGCGAAACCCAATTTGGCCCCACGGGTGCTGGCGGCTTTCCAGAAGCGCCCCAATCTCGTTGCCGGGTGGGCGGGCGAAACAATCAATGGCTAGTCTGAATGCAGGTTTTGTTCCAACTCCGCGCTCCGAAGAAGCGCGCAAGGGACTCCCTCGCGCGCTTCTTCGGAGCGCGGAGTTGAGAGAGAACGAGAGAGAGAGAGAGAGAGAGAAAGAGCGAGAGAGTGCGAGAGAGAGAGGGAGAGAGAGAGAGGGGGAAAGAGAGAGAGAGAGAGAGAGAGAGAGAGGGAGAGAGAGAGAGAGAGAGAGAGAGCGAGAGAGAGAGAGAGGACAAGACAGAGAGAGGGAGGAGCTTGCATCCAGATGCGCACGCAACCAACATCACGCGCGCACTCTGCATGGGCTAACCTGTGCACGCGGGCGCGCTTCCGCGCGCGACTCGCGTGCATCGCGCGCGCGTGCAGGCAGACCAGTTGCAAGTGCATCAGTGTGCATCGTTATATCACGTTGGCCAAATGTTTGTCACAGTGTTAGAAGTTTAGAGCCGCGCGCTGGGAACGAACTTGCACGCATTCGAACTTCATCAGGTACAAGCCCGGACTCCAGTGGCCCTTCCTGGGCCCCGCGTCGGTAATAGCGTTTCGTCAGGTTCGCCTGGTTCGCCCCTATGAGATGGCTGCCCGCCCCGCAGGATTCGGAGGAGCTCAAGGAGTGGTTGGCGTCGAGCGCCGAGGAGGTCAAGGCGGCCGCGGCCGCCCAGGAGGCCACCTCGAGCCGCGTGGCGAAGGCCAAGGCTAAGGCCAAGGCCAAGGAGGGGAAGGAGGATTCGGATTGGCCATCCCTCCACAGATCTATGTTCAGGGAGGCAAAGTTTCGGTGCCCTCCCGTCTGGGAGATGAACTACACACCTGATCAGCTAGCCAAGATGTCTGGTTTGTGCGATCGTTCGAGGGAGGTGATTTTATGGCACGACCTCAAGCTTGGACATATTGACCCAACAGGCCCTGCCCTTGAGCATTTTATTGACATTGGCCAATCCCTGGGGCGAGTTCCAAGCTGCGTTGGCAGCATCCCATGCTTGACTCCAGGCTCTTTGCCCTGGTGCCGCAAGCGTTTCAGACTTTTGCAGCCGAATGAATGCCTGGCAGCACAGGGATTTCAGCTCATGCCGCTCGCTTTCTTCAACAGGTTAGGGTTGAGCCATCGGACAGTTCGTAGTCTGGCTGGAAACGCGTTTAACGCGCACACAGCCATGGCCTTCACGTTCGCAGCGCTGTGTACTTTCCCGAACGACACGAGCTCCGAGCGCAGCAGGAAGCAATCCGATGTGAAGGAGTATTTGTGTTCAGAGAAGGCGTTGGCCGTCCCTGGCCTACTGTCGAGCTGCCCGAGCCAGAGTGCGTAGGATTTTGTTTGAGGTCGACCTTGCTTTGTCCCGTGGTCCTCGTGAATGGGATAGGGAGTGGGAGGATGGGGAGTTTTTTTTTGTTTGGGGGGGGATAGGTGACGCTGGCATTAGTGGGTAGGGGCATCGGTGACGCGTGAGTCTGGACGATTCGGGGGAGGTAAGAACACTCGGCCCCACTAGTTGCGTCGCGCCGTTCACAGTGATCGGCGGCGTTAGGCTGGTGAGCGCCATCCAATCAGGAGTTCTGTTGTCAGATCCCGTCAGCCGTGAGTCCCATGACCCATGTCGTGAGAAATCCTCGGCAGATGGCTGATATTGCCAGAGCACCAATTTAATTGATTTGATCGTTGTGCATTCGAAGTTTGTTTGGACGTTGAGCCTGTCGGAGCCCGCAGGCGATCTTGTTGTTGCTAGTCGTGATGCATTGCTTCGCTCTGTCAGTGACCACGCCCTTTCTTGACGGGCGGTGATCGTATGAGCGTCTTGCCCCGCACAAAGGTACATGATAGGCCTTTCAGCGCGTTCATGACAGAGCGTTGTCCCCGCGCGTCCCCTAGAATGGCCTCAAACGCATTGTTTTGGTGCGAACTGCAATTCAGCAACGGCTTGAAAAGGCGAATGGAAAGGGCCCCGGGGGGTGGCATCGTCCGCGGCATGTTGCCGTTTCCATTGGTTGGGGAGCCATTTCAAGGGACGCGCGGGGAAAGCATTTGGGTTTCGAGGAGGTGCAAACGCCAAGGCGCGAGATCGAACTCATTGAAGCCGCCGCCCTCGACGAGTTGAGGTTCTGCCCCATTAACTCTTTGAGTTCCCACCCCTTGCCATCGCTGCCCCGCCCCGTTCTCGCCGCGTCCCAACTTCGCTCATGCCTTGTATGCGTGAGCGCGAGCTCAGAGGGTCACACGTTCCGGCTGCAGTTGGGAAGCCCATTGAAACGCCCCCCATCGCCTGCGCATTCTTGCGACGACATGTTATTTGGACGTGGATGTCAGTTCAGGTGGAATCACGCACGGTCTCAAGTTTTCTCAGGGCGCGCAGCGTTCACAGCTTTTTTTTTGGGGGTCCAAGGGAAGGCGAGTTCGGAACCCTGGGGGGGGGCCCGATTCCCCGACGCAGTTTGGGCAGGTCCGTTCCGTCGGCGTTCTAGACTCAAGCTCGTCGAGCACCCGAGCGCCCCCGCGCGCTCAGGGCGCGCCCCTCGCCACGGGCTTATCCCGTCAGTTTCGCCGCGCTTGCAGCTGGCAAGCGATGGAGATGATGGATCTGGTGAGCTCGAACGGGGGCGACGACATCGCCGCCCTGGCGGACGTCATGGAGGCGGACAGCTCGAGCGGCCAGCCGGTGCAGGAGGCGACGTTGCGTTCGGTGATCAGACGACGCAGCCCCGACTTTTTCTCGATTCGCGACTCGCGATTCGTTCGATCGCGATCTCTTGTCTTTATTTGCGGTCCCGGGTCCTGTTTGGTCCAGCTTCTCGTTCCCAACGCATGCTCCTCGCGTGGACCTCGGGGCACGGCGCGCCCGTGGCTCGCGGGGGCTTTGAGTGCCCCGAGGTTTTCGTAAGGCATAGTCGTTGAGAACCAATGGAAACGATTGGGGATGCTTGGAGGCGAAGCGCTTGAAGCGCGTCCACGGCATCAGTCAGTCGGTGAAGGAGTTCATCGGGTGCGTTGGCATTGCTATCTCAACTGCCGCTTCAGTTCTGGGCGCGGCCGCGGACGCCATCTTGAATAAGGTATGCAGGTATTGCGGTTGCCGTCTGGGCGACCCAGACCCACTTCAGCCTGAGTTGACGCGGGCGTGGGCAAAGCCGCAGTTTGGCGGAAAGATTTGCGCCTACTGTCACGCTGGGAAATGGAAGTTGTATCCAGGATGTTCCACATGCGACGTCGACGCCAAGTTGACTGACTCTGACGAGAAGAATCGGTTTAATACTTTTGTCAATGACATTATAGACAATTACAGAAGCGGCGCCAGGTCCACTCGAAACATCGACCGCCCAAAGGAGACTTTGGTCAAAGAGGATGGGGTTGAGATGAAATCAGGGGTCAAGGGCGTTGCCAAGTTGTACGACAGCTACGTTCTCTTACATGGGGACCCTCTGACCAACAAGCTCGGCCACAAGTTGGTGGAGCGCTACCGCTGGAAGGACAACGCCATCAGGTTGGTCTGTCGGACAACGGTGCCATGATTTGCGCCTTAGCTGCTTCCCCGCCGCACGGCATTGGGATGGGTCTGGCGGCGCGGTGCGTGGCGGGATTGGATGTGGTGGGGCAGGATGTCGAAGCTTGCTGAGCCAATTGAGTCTGGCCATGGCTTCCAGCCCCGCCACCAGCCCCGTCCGCCTACCACCTGCCGCTCTTCCCTGATGCCTCGCTGGTGGGGTGGGGATGTAGCTTTCCGAGCCTTCGTCCAACTTGATGGGCCACCTTCTTAGGAAGGTCGTTCTGGTTCCGAGCACGGCGGACGACGAGATGGAGACGGAATGGAATTCGACGCAGAAGATTTTACGCACACTAAGGAATTGCACAACGGAGAGCTCACCGACAGGGCCGACCACGTGGCAAGTCTTTATTCCAACCTCCGTGCTACCGTTGGCAGTAACCAGTTGGAGGGCGTGGCGCAGAAGGCCCCAGCCGCCCCTGAGGCGACGCCCGAGCCGGCTGCCGCGCGTGGACCGCCGCCCAGCACGCCGCAGAGCTCTGACAAGGGCGCGGCCGCGCATGAGAGCGACGAGGAGGAGGATGGCCTCCTCGGCGGAGTCCTTGGCTTGCTCGACAGTGCCGTCGGGCCCAGGCCATCCAGCGTGAGAAGGGCCGCCAGCGAGTCTGCGCCCGCGCCTCCGACGACGAGACCAACGCCGAAGGGCGAGGCCAAAGCCAAGGCGCAGCCGGGGAACATGCCGCCTCCGCTCTCTAGCGGCGGTGGTGGTGGCCCGAGGCGGGGCGGTTCAGCTTCTGCGGCATCGGCTGGGGAGGCGCCTGACAAGGCAGAGCGGGACGCGGCCTCTCAGATCAGGCGCCTCCAGCTTGCTGTGGATGAGTTCCCCGCGCTGCAGAGGCCGACGTTGCTGGCCCTCGACAAGAAGCACTACAAGACGCTGAAGACTACAGCTGACTCTCTGACTGCCAAGATGAAGATCATCAGCCGCTCTTTGCAGGATGACGCCACGACGGTCATGAAACACGTGAGCATCAATTGCAAGATCTCCAAAGCGTTCAAAGTTTGGGTCAAGAAGGACAGTACGTCTGAGTTTCTTACCGAGTATAAAGAAGTGGAATCTTTTGCCAAGGAGCAGCCTGTCATCGATATCAGTCTGCCAGGCTCTGTCCAGATTGCGCTTCGGGAGATGAGCTTGAAGCATCAGCTCGTCGAGGCAGTGAGCGTCGATGCCCCCGTGGACGTCATTCCCATACTGGATCGCTTCAAGGCGATTTCGGAGGATAACTGCCGCGCCCTCTTCACTTCAGATGAGCTTCTTGCATGGCAAGAGGACAGGTAGTCTCAATGGGCAGTCGATCGTGTCATTCGTCCTCGGGCCGTTCGATCCAGCGACTCTGGGAGCAGCGATGTCACGTGGGCTCCCAGAGACGCCGTTGCGGACGGTGCCGGGGGTGAACGGCTGGTTTGATTGCGCCATCGTTTCAGGAATGCATAGACGATTGCCTTCTGACGCTCGTCGCCCCCCCTAACGAGAACAGGTTGCCGAAACACCCTGGTGATCATTTAAAGTGGTTGAGCCGCTTCCTCGGTCCTGTGCCCACGAGTTTGACTTCCTCTACCGCCGCGTTGGACTACCAGCTCTCCCAGTCGATCATGGAGAAGCTCGTCTTGCTCAAGGATCTCTTCGACTTGGCTTCACATTCGAGCAACCGCGACGTGGTGAACGATTCGATCGTGAAGATCAGGCGCTCCAGCGACAAGACGTTCAATATTTTCACGGCTACTGGCGGTGGCACCAAGCTGTTGAAATACATCTCTTCTCTGTTGGAAGAGTCAGCCAAGCGGAACGACCGCATGAAGAAGATTTGCGACATGATTCACAAGGGCGGCGACACCCTGGATAACATCATTCGCTTGGACCAGGGGCTGGCCAACCTGAGCTTCGAGGCCACGCGGGCGGGCGGGTGGGAATGGGGGTGGGGAATCATGGCTCAGGGGGCAGGGGTATCGACCGATGTTTCATGTTTCCCCTGTTTCTGACAACTTCGTCGGGCATGGGGGCGCGGCGTGTGTTGCCGTTGTCGTTGATGTTCGTGTGTGAATGTGTGTGTCGTTCGTTTTTGGGTGCGTGGTGCGTGGGGGCCATCCTTGTACCCTGCTGCCCTCAGGCCCTCTGAGCCGCGCCACGCCCCTCCCCCCTCCCCACCTTTCCCTCTGCGCGCCCGTCGGAGGTCGATCAGGAGACGATTGCCAACTTTGTCGCTATCTTCGAGCGCGTCGTCGGGGGCATCTGCCAGCAGCTCTGCTCTCTCATGTCACTGGCACTTCAAGGTGGGCTCGATGAGGCCGCTGCCAAGACGGCGACGGATGACCTGAATCAGAAGGTGATGGGCCCGTTGACCGCCCTGCAGGATATGACCTTTATCAAGCATGGCCCTGGGGGCCCAGCTACCAGCCATTCGAAATTCTTGAAGTTCCTAGCGGACATTGCGCAGGCCCCCTATGCAAAGATCCACGAGAGCGAAGGGGACGTTGAGACTCAGGAGGACCTCGCGACTGCGTTGGCTGCCATGGAAATTGCACTGGAGAACGACACAGAGATCAACGTTTATCTCAAACGGCTCGGCGTCCAGCTAGATGCGTTTCAAAAGATGACGGACGCGGGTGGCGCATATTTGGCCAAGCACGAGGGGGACGCGATCGCTGCGAAGGTCGTTGAGGTCTGCAAGATCATGTACCTCGACAGCGATTACTGGAAGGATCCGCGTTGTCTTCGCATTTCGCGGCTCCAAGCGGTTGGTCTGCTGAGCCCGCCCACGTTTGAAACTGGTTGTCATTTTGTCGGGTACTAGTTTGGCTCCTTGGGGGTCCAGTTGTGTCGTTGTCGGCTTTGCGAGCCGAGCCTGGGGTCAGGGGTCAGGCGACTGGGCTCTGCCAACCGATTGGCACTGCGGGTGCAAGCGCGCCCGCCGCAGGCTGTGAGGGAGATGGGCCCTGGTGAGTCCGGACAGCAGTTCTTGGTCAGCTCAAGTATGTCGGCAGAGGCGGTCGAGAAGCTCGTGGCTGAGTTGACGGATTTGCGGTCTTCGCACGGTCTTTCATCCTCCAAGAGTTGGCAAGGCATTCTTCTCCGTTGTGATCTTCTCGTGGGCGAGATCAGTACCCTCTTTGTGGCAGTCCGCAAGTCCGCGGTAGCATTGTCGCTGCGCTTGCAGTGGTTTGTGTCTTGTGCAAGGTTCGAGTTCGCATATCTGCACCAGAGGAAAAATGCTCACGACTTTTCTCAGCACCGAGTCGCTGACGGCGATTCGGAGCTCCGGGCGGCTTGGGGCAGCACGGCGTGCGTTCACTCGAAGATGGTGAATTTGCTCGATTGCAGTGCCGCGATGAGTTTGGACATCCAGGGCTCCCCAGCCATTGTGGACACGCTGAAGAAGTACAATGTGGTCGACGTCGGCAAGGACAGACTCGTGACCGAAGCCCGCGCTGCTTGCACGGCGTGCGAGGACATGCTCAAGTCGGTGTTGTGCTCGATCGCTGCGCAGCTGGACCGATCGGGTCAGGCGCTCGAACTACAGATCCCAGATTTCCAGGGCTGCGTCGTCACCACGTTTGACACCGCCAAGGTTCAGGAGCAGATCGTAGACAGGTACGACGAGTGGAAAACCTTCGCGCAGCGTTGGGTAGACCTCCAGAAGATGGCGACTTGGGCGAAGTCCTTCGTCTTCGAGGGTGGCATCGGCTCCTTTGAGAAGCTGCACGCTCCCACGGTTACGAGGGTGGATTCAGCTTTGACCGCAGGCAAGAAATTCATTTCGGTTGCGTCCACTTGCTACCTCATCCTTGACACGATGCCGAAGACCCCCAAGGCGAGCCGGCTTGACGTCCTCACGAACCACGTTAACAAGTGTAAGAATGCCGGCTTGCCACCTAACTTGCAGGAGTTTTTAAACAAGGAGCTCTCGAAGATGAAGGCCCATCAGGCGGCCAAGCCCAAAGGGGTCATCGAGTGATGATATGTTTTGCTGTGCCAGTCTCGCCGTTGCTTCTAGAGCTTTGAGCTCGGTCGCCTTGGCCAGAGTGTTTCGCTTTCGGCTGAGGGCTCCCTCTTGAGCCATGCGTGTTTGGCTTTGCCTCGTGGCGTCCTGGCCTTGCGCGCACCGGGCGCCTCTGGCGCATCTTCCGAGATGTGGCCGCCCAAGGCGCCTGCCCACCACTTTTTTTCTCTTTTTGCGCCCCGACGTCCAGGTGGACATGCGAGGAGGGAGGAGGCAGGGGGGGGGAGGGCTAGGTCGACGAGATCATGATGACACTTAGGAATTGCGGGGAAGGACTGCGGAGTCGACAGGACGACTGAGGTCGGAGCGATTAGGTAGGAATGCGTTGTCAAAGTCGGGCAAGTGAGTTGCTTGAAAAATAGAGGAGGAGACCGATACTTGGGACCACGGGTTCAACGCAATGCTCGATGTCGGGGCCGAGGTTTTTTTTGGCGGTTGAGTCGCCCAGTGCCCCTGGCCAGCCTCAGCCAAGTGCTCGCGCGCTCGTGGTAGTCCATGGCGCCGCTGCTGCGGTACACTGTACACTAACCACTAAACCTATAGTTGTACCGCGTTGCGTGAGAGATACGGCTTCGCAGCACATCGCACAAACAATCACGCACGGAAGCGGGTCTCGGCAGTAGTCGGAGTAGAACATGGGTTTCTAGGCCCAGCCGTCGTTGAAGGGTTCGGCGGATTTCTGCGAAAGGCCCGGCGGAAGGTGGCATCAGTTGTCCTAGATGGAGCGGTTGTGCTCACGCGCTCGCGGGCCGAAGCCGTGCCGACTGGGATCCCCGGGGCCCCCAGGTCAGTGGGCTCTCAGAGATCCTAGAATCCGCATTGCATTTCATTGCGATGGCACGCCACATCCTTGAATGGGCGCTGCGATGAGCGAGTTTGAATAGGAATGTGCGTAATTTGTGAGGGTGGGCCAATGGGTTTTACTTGTTTCCCGATCCCCGCTTGTTTCTTGCGCGACCTTTCCAGACGGGGGGTTGGGGTGTGGCGCTACGGGCTCACGTAGCCTCCTAATGGTCAGTGGTTATGATACATGCGATGTTCGTCGCGTGCGTGCGTGTGTGTGATGGCCTGTAAATGGTTACTGTAGATATGCAATCACATAGGCTATTGCATTACGTACACGCAAGCACGATTTTGCATCCGTACATCGAATGATAAAGCAGGCGTAATCACATTCGTGACATACACACGTTCGCAAACTCCTTATTTCCCCTTCCCCCTCCCCTTCCCCCCCCCTCTCCCCTCTCCCCCCTCCCCCTTCCCCCCGCCCTCCCTCCTCCCCCTTCCCCCACCCCCCCCCCCTTCCCCTCCCCCCTTCCCCCTCCCCCTTTCCCCCTCCCCCTTCCCCCCTCCCGCCCCCCCCTCCCCGGCCCCCTCCCCCCCCCCCTTTCCCCTGCCCCCTCCGTCCTACGTGCCCTTCCCCCCGCCCCCCTCCCCCTCGGTTTTGCCCCCTTGCCCTCCTGACCCCTTGTCGTGCTCCCCCCATTTTGGCCCCGACACAGAAGTCACATCTTGCGGGCTGGTCAAGTTTTTTTGCTATTGGTTTGGACGGATCGCATGGTTTGGTGGTTTGATCTTGCGTGGCGGGCCGTGCAGTGGGCTTTCAGTGTGTTGTTGTCATTGCGGGCTGTTCTGTTCAATGGAATCAATTGGCACGGCGCCACCACGCATCGAAAGGGCTCGGCCCAAACGATATCATGTATCCTGTGAGGGCCCCCAAAAAGGCCTGTTGGAACTTTGTGGGAGGGCCCTGAGAAGCCCTCGGGTGGGTCTCCGAGCGCTCGAACCCCGCCTGCCCACGGGCCCCGGTTACCCAAACATCTACGAACATCTACGAAACATCTACGCGCGCACAAACATTTACGAAACATCTCCGAAACATCTCCGGTGCATTTCCGGGGGGTCGAAAACGACGCGGTCGCATCTGCTTAAACCGCGGTCGCGCGAGCCCGATTGCGTTCACGGGCCGAAATTCGCTTGAAGTGCTGATGAGTACAATGCACAAGCGAGGTGGTCGCGCGAGCCCGAACCCGCTCGCGGGAGGAACCTCGCCGGCAAAGCATCCACAAACATCTACGAAACATAAGCGCCAACAAAAACATTTGCGAAACATCTATTAAACATCTACGACGCATCTACGCCCACAAAAAATGTAGGAAACATCTACGAAACATCTCCGCCACGTTCCCGCGGGAAAGCCACGTCCCATGGGCCCGTCGCCATGGCTGGGTTCCTGAGTGCGACTACGGTTCTGCGCTGGCGGTCCGTGATCACCGGCGTCGGGGGTTTGGAGCCGCGCGCGGGGGAGCAAGGTCGATGTCGGGGGGGAATCCAGTGGCATGGCTATGCGCGCGGCAAGTTGACGTCGCGGGCGTCGCAGCGCTGGCCGCTGCGTCGGATGATTCCTCCATGAGCTGGCCGAGCGCAGCGTTCGAAGCAAGGCGCAACTCAACAAAGGCATTATACTGGGCAGAGTGTCCTGGAGGGCGTCCGAGCGTCGGCCAGGGCCCCCATTGGCCCATTGGCTGGTTTTGGGGCGGTCGTTCCGGTCATTCTTTGGACAGTCCTCCCTGGGCCATAAGTCGCGGCATCTACATGATTGCGGCAACGGATTCGGCCGACGCGGGGTCCGAGTTCCTCAGTGGCGACACGGACTGCTACGCGGGGCTGGGAGGGCTCGCGGTATCACAACGACGCTCAGAGGTTCTGCTTTGGCGCAGCAGGCGCGGCGAGCTGGGCGGCGAGGGCGACCTCGACGCCCGCGTGCTCGCCATCAAGTAGACGCAGGACGGCGAGAGGTGGAGGGTGTTCCAAGGGCGCCGTCAAAGTGCTGGCGGAGACCAGTTGGCCCTACTGGCCAGTTTTTGGGCCCCGGACTGCTCGGTGGTGCGCGCGCTTCATGGCGGGCCAGGATTATAATTCCGGTCGCGCCGCACGAAGTGGAAGCGCGAGACGGGCCTCGCCAATTTCGACCCCGGTGTCAGCGAGCACGAGCTCATCATGCGCGTTTTCGATGCCGCCATCTTGTTCGACCAGCTATACGCGAGCGAGGTCGCCACCATCGAGCAACTCGCTCGCCGCGCCCAGCTCATCGAGCACGCGCATCGTGAACGCGTCATGGGACGACCCGGAGCTGACGGCGCCATCGAGGATGACTACCTGATGATGGGCGCGGCCGAGACGCGCGGGCACGGGGCGATCCGCCCTGAATTGCAGGGCCACATCGCGACCGAGCTGCGCCGCAAGGCCATCGTGATGACGGAGCAGCGCAAACTCCGCAAGGAGCGGGCCAGCGCGTGAAAAGGTGGCCGCGTCGGCGGCAAGGACAGCGCGGGGGGCGATGGGGACGGCCTCCACCAGAAGATAGAGCAGCAGGCGGCCGAAGTGAAGAAGCTGCAGGCAGCTCACTCCCGCGGTGGTGGCGACAAGTATGGCGGCGACCCTGGAGGCCGCGGTCAAAGCTGACCGCGCGTGCTCCCCCTGGGCAGCTAGCCTTGCGGCGGGGCGCCCCCCGCCGCCCGGGCGTGCCTCTGCGCCAGGGCCTCGGCTGCCATGGTGGTCGGACGCGAGCTCCTCCCTGTCGACGTCGAGCGGCCGGCCGACTCGTGCGCGACGGCCAGGGCGGCGCTTCTCGCAGCGCCCGTGGCCGAGTTCGCCGCCGAGTCGACCTTGGCGACGGGGCGCGCGAGACTGCGTCTGTTTTCAGTTTTCTGCGTAGCCACGGCGAGCCCCGCGGTTCGCGCTCTCTTTCGCTCGTTCAGCGACGCGGCGCCGAACGCTTCCGACGCGGTCGGGAGCGTCTCGGCCCGCCTGGCCCGAGCGCCGAGGCAGCTCCCTGCGGGCTGCGCGGTAGCGAGCCCGGGCGCCAAGATTCGGTGAAGTGCGCCCCCTACCAGCGAGACCTCGCCTCGCTGCCTGGCGGCGGAGACCTCGCTCAAAGGGGCGAGTGTCTCGTCGGTCAGGGGCGCGATCTTCTCGAAATTCAAGCCGCGCATGGACAGCCGCCTGAGGGGACGCACGCTTCATTTCAGACTTGCAGGCTGCAGGCGTCGTGGGCCTGCGGAGCCCGGGGCCAGCAACTCCCGGGCTCTTCTTTGCCCGGCAAAGCGGTGGCGTTCGGTTGCGCTTGATTTTCGAGACCAGGGGGCGACTGAGTTTGTTTTCCGCGCCTCTGAGCAATGCTTGTTGTCCGCCTCGGGCGCGCGGGCCTCTCTGTGCATGCCTGGCGAATGAGAGCATTCACTGTGCCAAGCTGACGCTGGCAACGCCTTCTATAGGATCACCCCCCATCTCGCACCGATGTTTTGTTTTTTATCCCTCCTGCTTCTGTTCATCATCTCGAGGTGCTGTCCTCGGGTAGCTGCGCTTTCGCTCGGGTTGCCAGGGCGTCGTCGCCGGCGCTTCGGGCGCCCCCCGTGGGCTGGCCCTGGCCCCTCTATTCATGCCAGTGCATGGTTGAAAAAGCTGTTTTCGATTCTGGCCGCCCCCCTGACAGGCTGGCCCAGGATAGGCGAGCGACTGCCGACCACGAGGGGGGCCCCTCCGCCGCCGTCTATGTCGATGACGTTGCTTCCCTCGGGGCCAACTCGTTTGCGCGTGCCTGCGGTTGTTCGAGAGCCGTCGACCTCTCGGGACAGCGCGGCCTGCTTTGTCAGGGGGTGGTCGGGGCCTCTGAGCAGCAAGGTTTCACGGGCCTCACCTCCGAGCGGATGTCTGGGCGGATTTTCTTATCGACCAGGCGCCGCTGGAAATTCGGCTCGGCCCCCTGGAGCTCTGCGGGGTAGGCTGGCGCAGCGAGGGCGACTTGAGACGGGCCTTGGGGCGCCGGACCTGGGCCTGCCCATTGAAGCAGGAAGCGTTGTCTGTCGTCTCCTCGGTGTCTAAATTCGCTTTGCTTGCGGGGGGTCGGAGGCGCG